AGTGCACGATGAGTGGACGACCCAGGTAAATGCATAAGTGCTCGCATACTAAGCAAGCATGTAGCAACAGTGGAGAGCAAAATGTCCCTTTAACAGGAAGAAACCTCCAACCGAACCCGGCTCAGTGTGAGCAGCCATCTGACACAAGTGACTGGGTGTTTGAGACGGTCACAGATGAACTAGCAGTAGTACTTCCTGTGTTTAGGGCACAGACCGCTACAGAAGATCCTTCCTGCAGCTTTTAACAGACACGGTGCAACTAGATGGTAAATGATAATTCAAGAGTGCTGAAGTTATCTGCAGGCTACGTTTACACAGCAGCAGATGGAAGAAGTCTCTCTGATGCATCATTCTCTATTCATCAACTTCATGGTGGGAGGTGAAGAGAAGAGCAACACAAGCCCTCATCTGCTGGTTTTGATCTCTTCCTACATGTCGCAGAGTTTGTCGGCATCCATCTCAGCACACTAGATCTCTCTGTTACCCACACAAATACATCACCATCGCCAACATGCACACAGATAGCTGCCTTTAGCCAAACCATGCAGTCAATCATTCAGCACAGCAGAGAGCAGGACTGGGCAGAGGAGACGTCATGCATTCTTCATAATCCCTGCTCCTCTGATTGTGTCGGCCTGCAGCAGACCCCTCCACACATGCTCAGATCTTCTGTCTCCATGATTTATAAACTCACAAACACACAACCGCTTCATATCATTCAGAACGCAAAGCATGCCATTTGAATCACATCTCTGTATGAGTTTTCCTTTTGTGTTTGTTTTGACTGAAAAATAAATCAGCACAGAATGCCTCAAGTGTCTCGGTCCTTTCCACACCTGTAAAACCTACAGACCCAACCTGACAGCTTGCATCCCGTTTACACCTTCTGAATGGATTCTGCAGGCTGCACTGTCTCGTGTATTTCAAGTACAAATAAAATTGAATTGTAATCATGACAACAGTTCACCTGTTAAAGCCCCTCTTTTGTACTAAAGGAGTGACGTGTTCATTCATTTTTTAAATGACCCCTTCTTGAAAAGTAGGCCTAATTTAATAATTGCTGCCAAGTTTTTGAAGTTACTACAACTGTAAGATTAGAGTTTGGTATTTAGGCCCATGTGTTTATCTAGAGCGGAAAATAAACTAAACATTAAAGTGAAAAACATTAAAAAAGAAAAGAAAAAGAGCTTCAGTCCACTAATGAATTTTTAGATTTTGCTTATTGAAGCTAAAATAGCCATTTTCATCTGGGATGTTTGTTTTCCTTCAGTGTTGAGGCATCTGATTCTACTCTTTACCACTGGGTGACGTGCAAACAAATAATAATTATTGGTAAATAATAAACTGCATTAGGCCTTTCACACTAAAAATACACTCTTCCTTTCTGGGAACCATCTTATAATGGACAATGTAAGCAGCTGATAACCTAAAATAACAATCATGATAGAGAAAATCAGAAGGAAAATGTTAAAAGACTAAAATTACTTCCCCCAAGTCCTTCTAAACTACAAACAGCACTGACCATGCTGACCATGCTGTGTTTAATCAGTTTTGTCTTTGTTTGTTCGTGTATGAAAGGAAGAACCTCTAAAGTAAAACACTCAATTATTTTCTGGAACATACACGGATAAAACCTTTAGGATCATGAGATTATGGGTACGGATAGACCGATGGGCCGGTGTCGGTACAAGATCTGCTCGGGTGCAAGATCGGCTCGGGGTCCTTCGACTGCCGATGACGTCAAAGTAAGGCAAACCCACTCGGACAAAATACAATACACATCTTTATACTGTTGGAAAGAATTTAGCAGTTTCGTTATTAAAATAATGTTTCTTAAGACGTAAGTTTGTGTTTATAATGGTATTTGTAAAATAAAACACTATGTTTTATTCATAATGTTGAACTCCTCTTTGAGCACATCCCTTGAAGGATCATAGGTATTAGCAACACCTGTGAAATTGTATTTGCAGGAAAGAAGTGTGTCCCGTTAATTGAAGTATTTTGTGTTTAGAGTTTTTGACGTCTTGTCCATGCGTAGTTCAGGTACGCTCATAGCTGCTAGCCAAAACTCAGGAGTTAAAAGTTTTCTGGCTTTACTAAAAGTACTTGATGTACTTATTTGATTGATGGTAGTTTTACTTTCTATTAGACTCAACATGTAATCATTTGGCACGTTTCTAATTAATAATTTGTAATGATGTAATCGGTGATATTAGCATTAGCATTCTGATGGGTTTTTCCACGTATATTAGCATTGCGCTAACCACTCGCTGCCAAATCGCAGCCTTTGCGATTAGAAAATCTCCTTTTGTCACATTGCAATTTAATTGCACATGCAATTAATCGTTCGGCCCTAATATACATGCAGCTCTATGCTAAAAGTGTATTTTCAAAGAGGTAATGATGGATTTCTTTGTAAAAGTTGTCCATCTTTCCAACAGAAAAATATGCTTGGACCGTGATAACAATGTAACGTGACTACGTAACTTCCGTAAGGTTCATGTTCACCCAATCAACTACTTTGATGTCATCGGGAGTCGAAGGACCCCGAGCCGATCTTGCACCCGAGCAGATCCTGTGCCGACACCGGTACCGATATTACTATCACTGTTATGGCCATTAACACACACACACACACACACACACACACACACACACACACACACACACACACACACACACACACACACACACACACACAGTGACATTTACACTTCCCAAGTCAGCATATTTTGAATAAACTGAAAATTATGCAAGCTGAATTTTCGAATGTTTTGCTTTATTTCTATAGAGTGCAATTTGCAATATATTATTATTTACACACACAGCACAGACATTTACACTTCTGAGATGATAACCATCACTGTGACATGACTAAACAATCACACATCATCACCCTCTGAAACTGAAAATAGACTGATAAAATATTGGTTGTTAATATCAGCCAAGTTTTATTTATCAAACCGATACCATTGTGCTAAAAATAACTAACATCACCAATATTGATGCCGATATATTGTGCATCCATAGTTATGGGTATGTTAGTAGCCACCTCAGTTATGGGTGCTGTCCATGGTCCTGAACTATTAAAGATGCCTCATGTGAAATGCTAACTGAATTTAATGACAAAGTCCAGATATTTTTGTGATAAAAGCCAAACAACCAAACTCTAAACATTTGTAAAACTGGATAAATCCAGTCCAAGTTCTTCTGTTATGTTTGTTTAAGAAACAAACTCTGTGTGTGTGTGTGTGTGTGTGTGTGTGTGTGTGTGTGTGTGTGTGTGTGTGTGTGTGTGTGTGTGTGTGTGTGTGTGTGTGTGTGTGTGTGTGTGTGTGTGTGTGTGTGTGTGTTTGTTGGTAATGTATCTGGTCCTGATCATCAACACATCTGCTCACTTGTGACCCTCAGCTAATTGGTGCTACTCTTGGGAGGCTGATTCGGTCGTTACTGAAACAAGATAGCAGAGCTCAGAAATCGGTACAGTTGAAGGCAGCACATTTGTTCCTGCCCTGCAGCCCCACACTAAGACACCTGTTGTGTTGATTTTATGTGGTTAGGACAACAGTGTTAAAGTAGAAAAGCTTTTCAAATTAAAAGTCAGTAACTCCTTGAAGGAATAAATTCTATGCCAGAAATCTAAACTTTAGGCTATATGTTGAGAAATGATGGTGCGTTGTCTGTCTGTCCTAAAAATGTATGGCTTGGGAGTGTGGACAGTGTGGACGAGCGAGGGACTAAATGACAAGGACAGGGCCCACAAGCCTAGTACATCCTTCTTTGTTGTTTTCATCTTGTCCAACAAGACCATTAGCAGTCGCTCAATCCAACGTTGTTCTGCAGTTAGCATTACCATGGCCGGTTTTTAATATATGGCTGACCATGGAGTGAGCTGGGACGTGCTGACTTAAGGGTGCATGTCGTGCTTATCATGTTTCGAACCAGCTTTCCTCCGAAGTTTCTCCATGACCGTTACAACAATAATCTCATATAAATGTAAGAACTTTTATTTGACAGATGATTTCAACAATGCAACAGAACATAAATAGCTATTCCACTACTTACTGAAGCACATCATTACGATCTATTATTCCAATACGAAATGAACCAGTAAACAACGATGCTGGACAAAAACAGTTCAGTAACATGGCATTTAACAGGTAAGCCACAGTTGATGATCCACAATTTTTTGTTTATTTATTTTATGGCTTTTAAGTCTAGAGATTTGTACCAGTAAGCATAATTAATGCAACTTTGTCAAATCATTAAGTTCAAAGGAACAGACTGGTTTCCTGATCTGGTTTTTACTGGAACCCGGGGTCCTCTGGCCCAAACGGGTGAAACCACATTAACATCAACATGTGTTAGAAAGATGATCTCAGAGTCAGAATTATTATACTAATGGCAGGCAGCAGCTGACAAATGCATGTGAGGAATGGTGGAGGAGGGTGAATATGGAGCTTATGAATATTTATGACCTTCTTATTCTCTCAGACAAACAGTCAGAAGATGGATGCGCCTCAGCTGCTGATTGGAGCTTTGATGAAGGGAAACTTGGAGAGAAACTGAAGTGTAGCGGACAAAGATCAACGTGGTCCTGAGTCATGCACACGCACGCACGCACACGCACACACACACGTGCACGCATGCACATGTACACGCACACACACACACACACACACACACACACACAGCTTATCTCTACGACTGAGCTCACTTGAGTATAACTTTGTTTGGTCGTGCTGAGGCCGTGACGCAGAGCAGCAGTGATGACATCCTCTAAAATTTAAACAGGATTTTTTAACTACAGCTTTTTACCTAATGCAGTATAAAAATGTTGTTTGGGGTGAAATCCTTCAGAGGAAGCAAAAAGTAACTAAATAGTATTCATTCATTAAAATCCCAGTGATAAATCCCAAACAAAGAGGAATTTTGAAGCTCTGCAGATAAAGGATAAACTGAAACAAAACAGGGAAGCATTCCCAGCATTCCAGACATACCTGTGCAGTAAAACGTCAGGGAAAAGAGAAGCAGGCCAGCAGCCAGGTTTCCTAGGAAGGTGACAACCCCACAGGTGATGCCTTCAGGGACCGGGTACACTGTCTCAATAAAGAGCTCGAAGAATATCGGCACACTGCTGTTGATAAAAATTCCGACCAGGATGCAGGAGGTGTAGAGGATGGCTGCGGAAAATGGATAAACAGTAAAATCATTTAAGAAGTGGCTTCATTTAAATCACATGCATCAAACACAAGGCCCGCTGGCCACGTGTGGCCCACCACATCATTTTATGTGGCCCGCGAGAGATTCAAGTGTCTTTCTTACAAAATCTGAGACCAAGCATTTCACATTGCGAGACAAGTACCGGTAACAATAACAGAATAAACAACCAGGGCGCAACAGCGCGCCATGGTCTCCAGCAGAGGATGGCAGTGTTTCAAACCCTCCCAGCGGGTGGGGAGAGCACCCGCAGCACCCTGCCACAGGCTGCAGCAGGTGATGGCGGTGTTTGAAACCCTCCCAGCGGGGCAGAGGAGCTGAAACCTGGACTGGAACCGGCCCGCAGCAGCGCGCAACGGTCTCCAGCAGGTGATGGCGGGGCAGGGGAGCTCATTCCTGGTCCGGAGCCGGCCCGCAACAGTGCAGTATACATAAGTCACTTTGTACAAGTCGCAGGACCAGCCAGACTATGAAAAAAGTGTGACTTATAGTCCGGAAAATACGGTACATTTCCCATAATGCATGGCAATTGTGTTCCCAGTGCAGTGACTCGCCACGAGGTCGCAGTGTATCCACTTCCGTGTTTAATTAATGCAACATGTGAAAATAACTGTCCACACATCATCCCAACATGTCCAGGAAGAGAAAGATCAAAACTGTTATGTCTCAGAGCCCAACTCCGACTGATGCAGGTCTGGCTGGAATACAGTAGGTGAGCATCACAGGAAGTCAGAGTGGGGAAAACTGGGATTGAATTATTTTGTTTTATTAATCTTTTCTGCTCCAAAGCATGAAAGTTAATAGGTTAGATATTGCATTTTCATTTAAGAGAATTATTACTTTTTATTTATGTTGTTGGCCTGTGAAAAAAGATTTCACCTACTTTAAAACAGGACAGATTACAGATAGAAGAATAGAAATAGAAATAAAATAGAAAATCCCTTTATTGTCCCTGAGTGGGGAAAGCTTGGTGTCACAGCAGCAATAACATCCATTACAGGAGCAACAAAGGAGAGTAAAAAATAAAGAATAAACAAGAAAACATTAAATAGAAACACTTAAAAGATTGAACAGATAAAAAAAATAAAGAAATGCTGAATATATGCAGAATTTAAGGAATAAAATATTAAAACAAAATTGAGACATAGGTAACGAATACCACTGATGTGTGCTTTATTTAAAATGGACTTGCTCGTGTGTCATTTGGCTATTCCACATTCAGTGTTACTGCAAAAATAAGTTTGTTTCCAAATGAAAAGGTTCAACCGTTCATATCTGTAGATAAAGGAAAATGTGCACATTTGCCGTCACTTTTTAAAAAAATATTGATTTTAGCCCGCAACTTCGTCCCAGTTTTTCATTTTGGCCCAGTGTGAATTTGAGTTCGACACTCCTGATTTGAATTCTCTAATCCCACCTGACCAGCCCTTTAAAATTATGGCCCAACGGGAAAGTTTAAGGACCAGCGGCGATTTATTCAACCTTCCACCGTCTCCCTCGCTGCCATTTTTCACCGGCAGAGATTTATGATGAGCTCTCGTCCTGAAACAACATTCCATTTACAAAGTCAGCCCTCAAGGTAGCAATTTACCTGAAATAAAGCTAAATACTATAGGTGTTTTGACAGTAAACGGCCATCGTTCCAACCCAATTCCATCATCACTGCTGTTTTTTTAATGCTGCGGTGTAAAATGATTAGTTTAATTTGTCAGACTTGAAATGTGGTTTTCTGGCTGCCTGGATAATTATGACGCTCCCATTTCATAAGCTTTGTTTCACAAATAATTGCTTTGAGGCAGAGAGCGCTCGCAGCGATGGAGGATGTGAGCTTACAGCACATCTCTTTGTAACTGGGATGTGGTTTTTATGTCTGAATCTTTTCTTTTCTTGTCAGAAAAAGTGTTTTTCAGAATGAGCCTTTTTTAAGTCTTCAGTAAAGTTGTTAGTGTGTGAGTAAAAATAACAGACATGAACTCATTAAGAGATGTATAAAGCTCTGGCTTCATCTGTGTCGCAAACATTGTTACATATTTAAAAAGTTGCGAGTTTTTGACGTTCACTTCTGTTCCCAACTCTCCGTGAGAATGAACTGTTTGTAGCAGCTTGGCGTGCCGTGCCACAAAAACATTTAGATTGCTTAAGCAAAGAAATTTGGCTTCCATTTCTTCTCCGACATATTACTGGTTTTAGTTTTCCGGCACACTTGGCGTAAAGATCCACGAGTTTCCTGGTTCTGACTGGGCACTAAAGTCTCATTTGGCTCTCTTTGCCAGGGCGCACAGGTGTCCACATTGTCAACAGCTTGTCTGATTTGGTGTGTGTGCATGATGGGAATGTTAAGGTCCCATTTGTCTGAGCTGCTTTAGTTTGGGTGCATATAGAAGTGTGTGTGTTTGGGCAGCTGCTGGGCTGGTTTCAGCTGAAGTCTTTCAGTAAATTATTAGACATAACGTTGGCACAGAATCTGAACTATAACTCGACTTCAGCTTAGCAAAAAAAGTTTGCTTGCACAAAGAAACATTCGGATCTATAAAACACAGCCTATGCAATGCACAGCTGCACTCAGTTCCCCTTTTATAACCCACACCTATCCTAGGTGTTCTTGGATCACATCCCACCTCCAACACCCATCCTTTCTATCAAAAATGATCAGTGCCAAGTACCCTTCAGCATTTCACTGGTACCCATGGCAACCGAGAGGTATAAAAAAAATACCAATGCACCAAAACTTTCATTGAAATTCTTGTGGGTGACGTAGAAGCACAGGAAAAAACGTTACGTTTGGTTGTCAAAGGTGTAGCGTCACAAATGAATGATGGATTCTGAGTGGCACAGCATTGTTGCAGAGGTGAATGCCATGAGTGTGATTGGGGGGGGCATCCATCGTGAAGCATTATGCACAAGTGTCACTGTAGTATTTATGTCTCCTAGGTAATCACACTAAATGACATGCGTCTTATCACAACTAATGCACTGATAAGTGCAATTGTAATAAATGTTACCATTAATCATGCAACACATTTTCATTCAGGTACTCCTTTTTATTCCAAGTTCAGATACAAGCTGTGTGTGTGTGTGTGTGTGTGTGTGTGTGTGTGTGTGTGTGTGTGTGTGTGTGTGTGTGTGTGTGTGTGTGTGTGTGTTATAAATGGTAAATGACCTGTATTTGATATAGTGCCTTCTAGAGTCCTGGAACCCCCCAAGGCGCTTTACAACACAACCAGTCATTCACCCATTCACACACACACACATTCACACACTGGTGGGGATGAGCTACAATGTAGCCACAGCTGCCCTGGAGTGCACTGACAGAGGCGAGGCTGCTTGAGCACTGGCACCACCGGTCCCTCCGACCACCACCAGCAGGCAACGTGGGTTAAGTGTCTTGCCCAAGGACACAACGACAGCGACAGACTGAGTGGGGCTCGAACCTGCAACCTTCCGATTACGGGGCGAGCACTTAACTCCTGTGCCACCGTCTCCCCACTGTTAAGGGGGATTCTGCAAATCAGGATATGTGGCTCAAACTCAATATTTTACCATCTCAGGGCTGCGCTGCCAGTTTCCACGTGTCCAGCATGTGCTTAGGCCAGGGTCAGAGATAGGTTAAAATTGTGCACATTTTCACCAACACTAGTCAGTGAGTTGATGCAATCTGCTGGGTTCCTTACTTTTTACTGATTGGCTTAAAGAGACAATGCGTAGTTTTTACCGTTAATTTCTGGAAACATCTATCGAAATGTTGTTGAAAATGAAATAAATTATGCCCAGCTGTTGGCATATATTGACGGCTTCGTAACGACTAACAATAAAAATTGGGTCTAAAACACATGGGAGTGGGTCTAAGTCCCTGTAATATGAAGCAGAAACGAAGTTAAATTGAATCATAAATGAGATCCCTGGTCTTTACAGCAGCTGTTTTCAGTTATTGCTTGTTTTATGGGTCTTCAAAATATGACTTAGAAGCACTTTCTGTTTCACTCCTTCATAAAACTGTAACGGTTTAACTTAGTTTCACCTTCCTGTAACATGCTGTGTGAGAACTTCTTAACTCCGACCTGGCCTTTCAGCTTGGGGGTTTATAAATTGGTTTGGCCCTTGAGGCACATCCACCTTCTGCAGAAGTATTTTGATGCACCTACACTGAACAAAAATATAAACGCAACACTTTTGTTTTTGCTCCCATTTTTCATGAGCTGGTAAAGGAAAAGTGCTGACTAACACACATGTAGACAGATTTCAGAACGATATGTGAGAGTCATGTTCTTTTGTGTATGTAGACAAATTTTCAGATGTTTGAGTACAGCTCATGAAAATAGGGGGCAAAAACAAAAGTGTTGCGTTTATATTTTCGTTCAGGGTACCATGTATGAAGTACTGTCCTCTCTGCTAGATGCTTTTTGTTTGTTTGACCAGATCAAATACAATGTGATCATGAAATGCAGACCCTTTATTTGTTTGTTTTTTTGCTGAACACAAAGGTGTGGTCTTGTTTCCTCAGAATGTCCCAAATTGCTCATTTGGACACTTTTGATTTGATTTCTTTTTGACATCTTAGAATAGCCAATTCCACACAAGAGCCTCCAATGACACATTTGTGTCAACAAAACAGCTTTTGTGCAAATAAAAGATCTCACATCCAAAACCACCTTTGTTTCAGATACTTTCATCCCAGATCTAGCCCAAGAGCTTTTTGAGGCTGATATTAATTATACAGCCTAACTTGAATTAGGGGCTTCTGATAATCTGTAAAAATAATTAATATAACGGCCAGATGCCAAACACATTCTGGATAAAGACGCTGATGTGTGGCTTATTGTGATGTTATCTTGCTGTTCAGGAAACAGAACACAGTGAAGCCAAATTGAGGTCATAGAAACATTTCATGCTGTTTTTTCCCCAATCACTCCCAACATACACCGGCTACACATTCAGTGGGAATGGAAAGTTTCCAGATCCCTGTCAATTGTTTGTTATATTGCAGCCATTTGCTCAAATCAATTATTTTTTTTCCTCATTAATGAACACACAGCACCCCAATGACATAAAAACACAGAATTATAGAAATGTCTGCAGATTTATTAAAAAAGACAAAGTGAAACATCACATGGTCCTAAGTATTCAGACCCTTTGCTGTCACACTCACATATTTAACTTTCCATTTCTTCTGCTCATCCTTGAGATGGTCCTACACCATCATTGGAGTCCAGCTGTGTTTCATTCTACTGATTGGACTTGGTTAGGAAAGCCACACACCTCTCTATATAAGAGCTTACAGCTCACAAAGCATGTCAGAGCAAATGAGAACCATGAGGTCAAAGGAACTGCCTGAAGAGCTCAGAGACAGAATTGTATCAAGGCACAGATCTGGCCAAGGTTACTAAAACATCTCTGCTGCACTTCAGGTTCCTAAGAGCACAGTGGCCTCCATAATCCTTAAATGGAAGACGTTTGGGATGACCAGAACCCTTCCTAGAGCAGGTTGTTCAGCCAAACTGAGCTACCAGGGGAGAAAAGCGTTGGTGAGAGAGGTAAAGAAGAACCCAAACATCACTGTGGCTGAGCTCCAGAGATGCAGTTGAAGAAGGTTGTAGAAAGTCAACCATCACTGCAGCCCTCCACCAGTCAGGGCTTTATGGCAGACTGGCCCGTTGGAAGCCTCTCCTCAGTGCAAGACATGTGAAAGCCAGCATGGAGTTGCCTAAAAGACACCTGAAGGACCCTGAGATGGTGAGAAATAAGATTCTCTGGTCTGATGAGACCAAGATAGAACCATATGGCCTTAATTCTAAAAGGTATGCATGGAGAAAACCAGGCACTGCTCATCACTTGTTCAATACAGTCCCCACAGTGAAGCATGGTGGTGGCAGCATCATGCTGTGGGGGTGTTTTTCAGCTGCAGGGACAGGACGACTGGTTGTAATCAAGGGAACGATAAATGTGGACAAGTAAATGGATATCCTGGACAAGAACCTTCTCCAGAGTGCTCAGGACCTCAGATTAGGCTGAAGGTTTACCTTCCAACATGACAATGGCCCTAAGCACACAGCTAAAGTAAAGAAAGTGTCTTCACAGCAACTCTTTAACTGTTCTTGAATGGCCCAGCCAGAGCCCTGACTTAAACCCTAGTGAGCATCACTGAAGAGACCTAAAAATGGCCGTCCACCAACGTTCACCATCCAACCTGACAGAACTGGAGAGGATCCCCACATCCAGGGGTAAGAAACTTGTATCTTTACCAAGAAGACTCATGGTTGCATTAGCTCAAAAGGTGCTTCTGTTAAATACTGAGCAAAGTTTGTCTTTTTTAATAAATCAGCAGAAATTTCTAAAACAGTTTTTCTGTAAATTTGGGTGCTGTGTACATTAATGAGGAAACAATTAATTTAATTGATTTCAGCAAATGGCTGCAATTTAACTGAGTAAAAAATTGATGGGCTCTGAGCACACTTTCCATACCCAATGTATTCAGGTGTGTGCATGAGCGTGTGCTGTTACTGAGCCGATCCTACCAGCATAATAAAATGTTTTGGCAGATTTACCTTTTATTATTTATTTATTTTTGTGGTAGAGTCACACCGCACTTTAAGGTGAGATACCAGACAGACGAGCAAGGTTGCAGCATGAATTCATCAGACAGTCTGGGATGAAAGGACGAGAGCAGATCCAGGCTGGGGGGGATGATGATAGATGATCATGACTAGAATCAGTGGTTTGGGAATACATGCCAATGTGCCCATTAGTTGGCTTAAGGAAAGGAAGCTAAATCCACTAATTTCCCAACCAGGTACAAACCGAGTTTATCACAGACATGCATTGATTGATAGTCTCAGCTGACTATGCATCAAATATACAGTAGAGACTGTGACAGTGGGCGTCGTGTTTATTTTGAAGCTCAACTCTGAAACGCACAAAGAAGCAGAAAGTGCAGTGAGAAAAGCATGACGATGCTTTATCGTTTCTGAGGGGAAACCAGGCTCTCTGGGTCACAAAGTCACCTTGAAAGTGGTGCTGATGTGGACCTACCTGTGGTAGATGGGAGGTGGGTAAAACTGCTCAAACAGGTGAGAGTGAACCAGGTGGAGGAGAGCGAGGCTCCAGCTAACATCAGCACCAGGATCATCTTCAGCATCCCACGGATGGAGTCTGCAAATCTGAGGGGGAGGGGTGGGAACAGCAGAGTATTTACATTAAAACATGATATGAAGCAAAAACAAACAAACAAACAAGCAGACAAGATTAGTGAGGCGAGGACAGCAGCTTCAAAAACACAATGAGCAACTTTGCAATTTTTCACATTCTGTTTCCTCTGTGACTTGTGTCATAATGTATTACTGAGAATAGGCACTCCTACACCCGCACTTGCTTCTGCCTATGTCAGTTCTACTTCTCATTACACAAAGAGACATTGGGCATACTGTTGATTCAATTTGTCTCACCAGCTAAGCAGGCAGACTTTGAGTTGCACATCGTATAATATTGTAGTAGACAAGCCATTGAGCCATTCCCAAACAGCTCTCCTGAGTTCTGTGGTTTTTCTTTGGAGCCTTTTCTGAACTCTCCCAGTTCATTAGCTCCTCTGGCTAACACACACACACACACACACACACACACACACACACACACACACACACACACACACACACACGTACGCTTGAGGAAGAGTAGATGAAGCTACCGAAGTCTGTGGCAAAGACATACATTAATTACTTATGTTGTGTTGCACACAGACCAGACGTGTGAAAAGAGAGAGCTGAACTTGACAACTAACAATGCTAGAATAACAAAATGTGTTGAAAATGGTAGACTGGTTTCAGTTCTGTCAACGCGCTGCAGGAAAACAGGCTTCAGACCAGTAACGAGCTCACCTAAAAGCTGCTCCACTCTGACATTTTTTGTGACAAAATTACTTTCTCTTGGGATTTCATGAACTGTCTTCCACAGCCGAATCTAGCTGTGAGCCAAATGCCACCTGAATCACCTGAAGACATGCTTAAACGTCCAGGCTCAGGCAGAGGGACTTGATGACACTGAGTCCTTAATCGAATCGTCCTTCTTTGTATTAAGCTACATTTCTGTAATCTGCATCACCCATCTGCTACGGACTGGCTCATGTCCACAACCCTCAAACTACTCTTGGTGCCAGAGTTCGACTAAAGTCCTTTGCCCACTCTCAGCAAAGCCCTCAGCTCTGCAGAGAGCATCACAGACTAACCCCTACTGTATCATTTCCAATCTAGTTCTTTATGCAAATTAAGTAGCTTATTTCTGATACTCCATCTCTAGTCCCAGAGTTACACTTGCATAATAATCTTGGTCACCGATTGCTAAATGTGTCATGCTCTTCTAAAATTTCAGTGAGCAGCCTGAAGCCTACAGAGACCACTGGATTAAAATGTCCAATTATTAGACTCTTCATATTGAAAATGGCTGCACGTTTAATCAAACGCCTCATTTCCATGTGCCACATATTTACAATTACAGCCACAACATATATGAATAAACCACCGTCAGTGTTCAACTATAGATGAACAGATTTTAATTGTGCTGTCACGTTATTTTAATGTTTGTGCTATTCTTGCTAATGGAAAGCACATTGAATTGTGCTATACAAATAAAGCGACCTGGCCTCTCCATTAATCATGCACCAACAAATGTGCTTTTCAAATCTAGCTGCATCCACCGAAATTTACTTTTTACCCATTTGGTTAAAAGTTCTGAGTAGAAACAGCACCAATTTTGACAAACATGCTAAAAAGGTTCTGTTTTATAAGATTGGCTAAGTTTAAGAACATGTTACATTTTCAACAAGAAAAAAAAGTTCCTATAAGGCTTTATGTATCTCTAATATTAAAACGTCACCAGTCAGTTACCCTGCTAATGGAGTAAATAAGGCTGTTTTATCTCAGGAGGGAAGGTCAAAATTAAAACTCGATTTTTTACACAAACAGAATGTACTGGCCATAAAGATTAGAGCCTCTCAGTAATCTAGAACCAGATTGCATTTTCTGCTCTCCAGTGCCTTTAGGGAATAATGAACTATCACCATTAGCATGATATTATCATTTGGGCCTGTCTGTATTTCAGCAAAGAGAACGTATGCATTATGATGCTCTACGTGAAACCAAACATCATCCCTGTTCAGGCTAAACCAATTAGGAAAGAGTTGAACTTCATTTGTGTTTGCGTCATCTCATCTCATCAATCTAGAGTGCGGAGGGGCTCGGACCTCCCTGACGTGAAGGAGAATAACCTGGTTCGGTTCTCCGACTGCTCCTTTTTAGCTCCCACACTTCTCCTGAGGATTGTAATGGGAGGACAAGGAGTGAAGCCTGTTAGCTGCTCTTTCCACCCTTCTCATTCAGTTAAAGGACAGATTCATGAGCTGTGCTACTGTCGGCCAATCAACCTCTGAGCAATGAGCAGACGTTAGACTGCATTCACACTTGAGGATCTCTATGCTTTCTCCGACTAACTGGATTGCAGAAAATGTGGTAAAAACTCCTTCAGTGGCAGTGTTGGGCAAGTTACTTCAAAATCATTACATTACAATATTACTGGTTTTAAAATGTAAGGCATTACACTACTTTTGCATTACTCTAAGTTACTTTCACCAAAACAACTTCAATATGAATCTGGTAATCTGATGCTCAGTGAGCTCATGACATATATGTGGAAGGTGATGTGGTGTCTGAGCTAGGATTGCTGTTAAAACAGTCAGATATAATAACAGTGCTTTAAAATGATTGTTTAAATAAAAGCAACAACAATCTGTACTCTCAGCACGCTGCCATCTTATATTAACTGAGCAGGGAGTGAGGTGGTGGGGGCTCCAAGCCTATATTTGACTTGGTCCCCAAATGCCTTGACACGGCCCTGGATGTGGGACTGACTTCTGGGGTGATCTGATTCTATCACTAGTATAAATATTAAATGCTTATGTATATTATTGCTTTTCACTGGTAAAAATGTGTATTGGGGATAAATCTGCCTACTTTTTTTCTTTTCAAGTGCTTAGTTTTGTTTTCTTGATTTTATTTGAATACCTTCCTGCCCTTTCTCTCTCTAACCTTCCTGCATGCTGCATGTTTTCTCCGTCTTCCAGAAAAACTGTTTCCTAGATTTCCTGCTTTCTAACTAATCAGCCAAGGGGATCTACCGAACGCAAAAAAAAAAAAAAAAAAAAAAAAAAAGCTTAATATGAGCTGCGCTGCAGCAGCAACGAGTTGAAATCACCGGGGCACAGATTATGAACTCAGCTGAAAAGAAACATGAAGTACCAGAGAATATGGGCTGATGTAAACGATCGCAAACAAATTACTTTGTTTTGGTGGAGCCATTTTGTGAATATAACAGCGGTCGTGCAGGACGCAGCTGGAGTATTTGAGCCGTTACCGCTGCGTCCTCTCTGCTCATAGAATGCCTGCAAAGCTGAGTCCATAAATGACGTCATATATGTGGATACTGGATCTTTTTTCAGGCTTCCCGCAATTTGAATTTTTAGGAAACCCACATCTTGATTCTGGGTTTAAAAATGCATTGTAATTACTGCGTTACTGACAGTTGTACCGAGTAAATATTACAATTTTTTTTCTCCCTGTAATGCCTTACATTACCACATTACAGCAAAAAGCAATTCATTACAGTAATTAATTACTTTTGTACTGCGTTACTCCCAACACTGTTCAGTGGCAGGGATAATGGCATACTTAACACTTGCAACAGCTTGTTTAAGCTCATTTTTTTCCCTCATGCTAGGCATTTTTCTACTCACCCCAATCTATATGCCAGCAGCTTGTTCCCATGACGATCCCTTCCTGACAAATCTCTTCAAACACATCAGGATGCAGTTTAGCACTAGAGCTCACCATGTTAGCATGAAGCTGATAGTGTGGGTGAAGCTTTGAGGCAAGTTTCTCTTGAAATTACAAATGACTGAGCCACACTGGTGTGCATGGTGTGTGATTCACTGTTAACCCTTCCACCATGTTCTTCCATACTTCTCCTAGGACTCAAATACAATACAATGACAAATATAAACCATCATGATGTTGCTTTTCGTGCCTTGTGTGAGCTCTAAACCATTGCTGATAGGGCTGTTGCGGTAACCGCAAAAATGAAATATCGCAATATGAAGAAACCCACCGCGCTGCATCATGGGCCACCGCGATTACTGAACTTGGTTCAACTCAATGATGCATGTAGAGAAGGATGGCTGCACTGGTATCAAAACGAAACGTTACTTCGCTCCTTTGGGAGCACTTTGGTTTTCAGTACGTCAGCTGCTGCGCAGCCAGAGTCCTTAGCCGAGACAGAGCTGCCACCAGCGGCAAAAAAATAAATAAATAAATGCGCTGCTGAAGTCCCGGACAAGCACTGCTTCTGCAACCGTCCCGAAGAGAGTTTGAGCCGAGCTGGAGCTCATTCGCTACCTGCAGGAGGAATGCATCCACCCTAAAGAAACCCCCCTGACATGGTGGAGCAACAACCGGGAGAGATTCCCTTTGCTCGCCAGTCGCACGCAGGTACGTGTGCGTTAGTGCAACGAGCGCATCATCCGAGAGGGTTTTCAGTGTTGCTGGAAATGTTGCCACCCCTCTCAGATCCTCTCTCAAACCGTATATAGTTATCATGCTGGTTTTCCTTGTAGGTAACAAGGACGTGACCGAGCTATAAATCACCGTCATTCGTGTGTGTGAAAGTGAAATGATAGTGTGCCCGCCCCCCGGCGCGCGCGCGCCCGGTACATGTAATTTTTTATGCTTGATTTTAAACAACTAAACAAAATGGGGACTTGTTTCTTATTTGTTAGATGCTGCAGCCAAATTTGCATTTAAAAGTTTAACCTTCTCCTGAATTTTGTTTTTAAGTTCAGTCGGACTCCGACTGTCGGAGAAACAAACTGCGATCTGTGTTGTTACTGCTCTTTGATCTGTATTCAGTGAAGTGTTATAAAAGAAGGCACGGCAATTTTTTACCTTTTTTAAATGTGTAAACATTATGTTTAGATAGTGCTGCAATAAAAAAAGGACTGCAATAATATCGCACACCGCAATATTAAGCCACCCTGAATCACCGCAGGAGGAATTCCTCAACCGCGACAGCCCTAATTGCTGACCTATCATACTATAATAAACATACAGGGAGTGCAGAA